GTGATTGATTTTCTTCTACTACGTATCCTCATCAAACAAGCAAACACACAAATCACTGTAGAGATAGTAGCATTAGAAGCCATCCTCATTAACATCTCTTTATCAATATCGTCCATCTACATTGTTTTAAAAAGAGATTCCTTATATAAATACTATGCATCAATCTTAAACAAGTGCTCATATAGTAAATAGAAATCAACAATGTTCAAAGAGTTAAGTGAAATTAACCTTAATAAACACATAAAATAGATGAACCAAATCTTACAAATTCCAAGAAACTAAGAGGAAAATTATGAATGCAATGTTCTAATATACCATTTTTAAAGTTTCTGGCATGAACTATGAAAAACATGTCTATAAACTGACTATATGAAAAACATGTTTGTAATGAATGTCATGAACTATTTTTAAAGTTTCTGGCTCCGCACATTTCCAGACTAAAGTACCAATGAAGATTCATAGTTCAGAAACTATATAACCATAGTTTTATGTACAACCATAGAAGATGACCAATGAAAACTACAAATGCTCTCAAAACCCATCATGGACACAATCCAAACCCATCAATCCAAGTCACCCCAAGATCAAAATTTGAAGACTACCCAACCACCAAAATCATATTTTAACAAAAATAATTTGAGATTAATGAAACAAAAACCCTAACTCTAAATGATCTAAGAGTCCTAAAATCCAAATCCAAGCAATGGAACGAAAACAATATTGTCCCCAAATCTGCCACAAATTTCACAGACTAATAATTATGCCAAACCAATTTCACCAAACCTAAATCAATTTCACATATAATCCACAAATTAATTTCACAGAAACTCCAGAACATTTTTACCAAATGACAAATTTACAAAGAAACCCTAATTTACGAAGAAAGGGAACACGATTTACCTGCCAAGGAGGAGGCGTAGTTCGGTCGGAGAATAGTTTGGGCTGAGAGAAGTTCGGTTGAAACAATAGAATCCTCAAATCAATTTACCCCCCAAACATTAGAGAGAGTTGAGGAGAGCCAGGACGGTGGAGCTGGGAGTTGGGGACTCTGAGGAGGAGGCGGAGCCCGCTGAGGTTGAGGGCAGAGAGGAGGGAGGGGGTGGCATCGTAGACGGGGAGAGGAGGGAGCGGATAGGGTTTTCGCGGGGGAAATAAGGCGGCGGGTAAAAGAGGAGGGAGACGAAAATAGGAGGGGGAAGAGGTGAGCGTATCGATGGGTTTTCAGGATCACGAGATGAGGTAGACTCGTTTTGTCAAAGATCCACCTCAAATCCTCTCTCAGATGTAGGATTTGGCAAATGCTAAAATTTGTTAGTTTTTAGCACTTTAAGAATTTCATATCCCAAATTATTTTTGAAACAAACATGGTTTATGGAATTCTAAAATCCAAAAAACCCCTTTTTACATCCAAAAACTTCAAATCCACCCTATATCCCCAAAAAATGAAACAAACACCCCCTAAAAGTTTACATCTATTCCTCTAAAATAATGGGATGATCCAGTATTCACTATTCATGCTATAGTAAAAATTACTGCAACTTATTGTGGCTTTGTTACTGTAGGACGTACGGATCCAATGCTCACTATTCATGCTTTTAATAAATACTGTAGTATTATTACTATAGCACAGGTGGAAACTGTAACGTTTTAAAATATCACTGTAGCTCAGACGGGACACTATAGTATTTAAAAAAATGTTACTGTAGCACATATAAAAATGTATTTAAGTACAGAATTACTATAGCAGAAATAAAAAAATTTGAGGTCGTGCTTCGCACGGGGTACACACTAATCTATTCTATTTTGATATCCCAAGATTTTTCCCCTTTTTTTGTCCTTTTACTATTTGATGCCATAAATCTTACACAATTTTCAACTTTAGTATCTAAAGTTTACATGTTTTCTAACTTTGACGCCCTAAAATTTGCGAGAAGAATGAAACTTTGTGGTACCAAAGTTCAAAAGGTCAAAATTTAGGGATATAAAAGTGTCCAAAAGTTGGGATATTAATAAAAAAGTGTGTGGATCTTAGGGTATCAAAGTGCTAGGAAAAAATTGAGGCATCAAAGATAGTGGCTAAATTATAAGATTAATATTCTAGTTTGACTTGGTTTCCAATAAGGTACTTACTTCTACTCCGACGTTAATGTGGTGTTTTAACTTGCGCCACAATGACAATAAGACACTTTTTTTCTAGCGGCAATGAGAATTCTGGGTGAACTAGATTTTTTCCTTGGAAAATTGTTTTCTTCGGCCCCTTTATCCAAAAGACCCTCCTTTGAGCTCCTCTTTCTTCTTCAACATCCCCTAATTCAAACTTAAACCCTAATCCGACTCCAACAACATTCATCCAAATCGATAATAATTTGAATTAAGGTTTAGGGTTGAATTGAGTAAATTTGAAGGAGAAAGAAAGGGCTACGTTGATGAGAGTGAAAGAAAGAGTGAATGATGATATTATTAGTAAAAGAACGGGAGAATTTGAAATATGGAGAAGGGAGGTTGAAGAAACAGAGGTGTGGTTTTTAATTTGATTAGTTAGAGGGTTCAAAGAAATTTTCTCCAAAAAAATAAAATGCGGTTTGCTGGAAAAGGGTCTTATTGTCATTAGGGGTGGGCAAAAACCGAAAAAAACCGGTTCAACCGAAAAAACCGCCCGAAAAAGTGGGCCGGTTAACCGAACCGAATTAAATGGATGAGAAGAAGACTCTAAACCGCCCGAACCGAATTAAATCGGTCTGGATCCGGTTTGAACCCCTGAACCGCCCGAAAAAAACCAAACCGAATTCTCTAATATAAATACTGAAAAATCCCTAACCCTAACACAATTTCTAATATAAGCACTAAAATTAATGGAAAGGCTGAGGACCTAAAAGGGGCGGTGGCCGAAGTTGAGCTCGTAGACGTCATTGGCCGTGTCGTTGATATCGAACGCCTCGATCACTTCCCCGTTGATCCCAGCTCTCATTAGAGAGTATCTAACATGAAGCATAATGGGCCGGACCAAGCTGAGGTTAATTGTAATTGAGGCCAACAGCCAAGATACTGCACTGGAGTCTATGAAACCAGAAATTGGTCCCTTAAGCCTTTCATAAACTTAAAAACCGAAATCGATTTTTGTGAAATGGAATTAGTTCGGACCAAAACCGAAACCGATCCGAACCGATCCGAATTTTGGTTGGGTCGAATATTCGGATGAAGGGGAAAAAATCTGGATATGGATGAGAGTTTTGAGAATTCAAAAAATTCGGATTGGATCCGGATTGCGCTTAAAACTGACCCGAACCGAATATGCCCAGCCCTAATTGTCATCGGGCCACAAATTAAAATATCATATTGACACCGGAGTAGAAATAAGTACCTTATCAGAAAATAGAATCAAGTTAGAATATAAATTTGGCAAATTAGTCATTAAAAATGTGCATTATGATAAAATTACTTTACATATACGAGTATTTTTCCTTGATGCGCGTGGATTGTTGTACTCATCATAATTTATTTTACAAATTTATAAGAAAAGATATGAAACCTTTTCTTCCCACTCTTCCAAACCTTAATCAATGACAAACAACACTATACAAAAACTCGAATACAAATGTCTTTTAAAGGAGGCGGGTGCTAATTTTCTCGCTAGGAGACAGACCGTAAAATAATTCTCGAGAGGCCAATAATGCTTTTGAGGCACTTCTGTTGCGTTCGTGGACTAAATGCAACTTGATTTGGGCTCATAAATGTAGATACCATGACACTTACCTTGAAGGCCATCGACATTTCATTACGTCTCGTTTGGTACATAGGAATGGACTCAAATGAGAATGGAATAGAAGAAGGAATAGAATGGAATGTATGTGAGAATGGAATGCCAATTCCCATTCTCTTCTTTGGACGCGTTTGTAGAATGAAGCTAGAATGGAAATCTCATTTCAATTCTCATGTTTGGTATCATTAGTTCACCAGTGCGAATGAAATCTTATTTTCTAATAATGCCCTTACAAAAACATAGATTTTTAAAAAGATAAAAATAAACATTAATGATAATAACTAAAAAAAATTTATTTTTAAAAAAAACTTTATAAAAATAGTCAATATTTCATGTTTCTATCCTACAATCCATTTCCCTATATATGCAAGCCTAAGAGAAAACATCTTAATCAATTGTTCATACATATCCATGTTATTAATCTGGTTATGCCACTCAATGAGATAAGATTTTTAGATTTATTTTTGTTATAAAATGTGGGTGTAATTGAAAATTACGTAACTAATTTGATTCCCGCTTGAATGAGAATGATCATTCCTCATTAATTCACTTTGGATACTCATTCCCACAAAAAGTGTGAATAAACATTCCCTAGAATGAGTATTCCAACTTCTAAACTATGGTTATGTTTGGTATGGGGGGATGAGCAGTAGAAATGATCATTCCATTCTACCCCATTCCCACGTACCAAACAAGGTGTTAGTGCTTTGACGCAGTAAACAAATGCTTTCCTCTTTTCAATAATTTAGGGCATGTTTGGATTTCAAGGGGAAAAAGGAAAGTTAAGAAAAACTAGAGGATAGAAGAGAAGAGGAATCAATGGAGTTTCCTTCCCCTCCGGTACACCTCAATTTAGAGGGGATAAAATTTGTATTGTTGATGGTGAACTAAGATAAACTACGAGAAAGTATTTAAGCTGTGCGAACAATGTGAATGTCTCCGGTACCTTTCCTTCTCCCTTGTTCACCCGAATCCGAACCCCAATCTGAACAGACCGGAGTCACTTCGTGTATAGAGAGAAGGCAATCGATGTACTGACTATCTGAATTTTCCTCCGTCTATTAAGCCCAAATAGCTAGAGGGTGATTTTAGCTACTTACTACATTAGAACGTACATGCTTTTTCCAAGGGTGTTTTAGCAAAAAAACGTACGCCGTACTTGTTCGGGTCGGATCAGACCTGAGTAACCCGACCTGTTGCCACCGCGAAACCAGCCCTTGACTTTTTGGAGTTCTCTCTTGTGGGCGTCCGATCGTCCACGTTTCCGATCGTCCCTTTTCCCGTTTCCTGCTTCTCCTCGAGTTTAAAATAGCAGCGGCCCTCGCTCGCCATGCGCACGTTAGCCCGGATATTTGTACCCCACTAAAAAGCACCACCTCCCATGTCTCCGTTCAAGGACCTTACCAGGATCATCAATGGCGTCTCCCTCGTCGCCCGGGAGGCCACCAAGCGATCCGAAGCCTTCACGGCCGCAAGAAACGGCGACCTCGAAACCCTAGTTTCCAAAACCCTGAAGGCCGCCTTGGTCTCCGCCACCGATCTCGCCGGTTTCACCAGAGGAACACCTCGTGGGATTTCAAGCCCTAGGCCCAAAGAATCCGTAGTCTACTTCTCGGATCCCGAACCCGAACCCGAACCCGAATCCAGAACGGAACCTACCATCTCAAGACCCGACCCCATAGAGGAAGCCATTCCGGCTTCGTCGCAGGTTCCAGCTAGAGAAGATGAAGCAAAAGAGGTTGTTGCGGAGAATTTGAAGGCGGCGAACGAAAAATTGAGGGATTTAAGTACGAAAATTGACGAGAAAGATGCCAATTTGGCAAATTCGAATGAGAAGGGCAACACTGCCAGTGACAGCGGAAGCGAGCAGAGGGTAGTTCCTCCAAAGAGAAGGCGGCCAAGAGAGAGGAGAGTTCCTTCGACGCCAATGACGCGATTTATGGGGTGAGAATTGCCAATTTCAGTGCTAATTTGCATTTTACAGTTTACTCTGCTTGCCGATATGATGTATTTGTTCGGTTGTAAAAATGTAATAAAGGTTTGCTGGTTTGGGAGCTGGTCTTGCTTGGGGTACAGTTCAGGAATCAGCAAAGAGGATTGTTTATGGTACACCCACAACAACTGATGGGAATCAATCTGCTCTCTCACCCTTATTATCTGAGCAAAATGCTGAGAGACTCGCACTTGCTCTCTGTAGAATGCGAGGAGCTGCGCTGAAATTGGGTCAGATGCTGAGCATACAGGACGAATCCCTTGTCCCAGCTCCGGTAACACTGTTCTTTCTCTTATTCATTACCAAACACATTAACTTTTTTTGAGAATGGCACATTTTTTACATTGTTGAAACTTGAAAGGGTGATGCCGTATTCTGGTTTACTAGTTGGGGTGATCTCAGTGCGGTTCAATTTTCACAATTTTCATACTGCAAGTGGGTTGTATATAATTGAAATGATAAGAGCATGAGACGTATAAACTAAATCTGTAAAATTGGTAAATTCTCTTTATCTGGGTAAAGTTGTAGTATAAAGTTGCAGTGACAGCTTTTGGTACATCTTTTTAACCACAATTAAGACCTACTTAACCATGCTAGTGAAGCTATAAGCAACTTTTCAATCATATTCATACATGTTCATGGGCCAAATTCGATTCTTTATCCTCTGTAGTGTTTTGTCCTAGATTTTACATTCTCCGCCTGCTGCCCATTTGCCTGAAGCTATATTGACACTCTCACTTTTTGTACACAGATTTTGGCGGCGTTAGAAATTGTTCGCCAAGGTGCAGATGTGATGCCCAGGAGCCAGCTTAATGACGTTTTGGATGCTGAACTAGGTCCTGATTGGTCATCTAAGTTGAGGAGTTTTGATTATGAGCCTCTCGCTGCGGCAAGTATTGGCCAGGTATTTTGATTTTCCTGCTACTAAAACTCTTAATACTCTTTATTGGTCTGTCTTCTGCAAATTGTAACTTGACTTGCATTGATGGTACTACTAGATTCATAAATGCTATCCGTATATATATGAAAGATTGTTGGGGCAGCATGGTTGATTTCGAGTTCTTAAACTAAAATATTGTGCTTCTATCTGCTTGCTATCCAGCTTTTGCTTGTTTAAGATGATGGTCTCAATGTACAGTAACATGATACCATGTAAGCGCTTCATTAATAAAATTTTGGATCTGGTTAACGAATAAAGGAAGCCTTTGTTTGTAATATTTTCATTATAGTTCTGTTCATTGCCATTACAATTCAAAGGACAGCCTAGTGACATAATAAACCAACACCCCAAAATCAAACCAATAGTTCTACGTTGCACAAAAATAACTTTAACATCTCAGGAGCATGAGAGGATGTCAAGTAACATTGACCTTTGATGCGTGTGTATTGGTTATTTATACAAAGCATCAACAATAATTTATGGGCTCCTTTTAAACCTAAGTTGTAGTGTATGGGGACAAGATCAAAATCATTTTTTCATTTACATGAGAGCAAGACATTAGATATCTACTATTCTATACTTATAGGAGGACCCAAAGAATCACTGTTCATGCTACAGTAAATACTACAGTTAATTGCTGTAGTATTAACAGTAAACCAGATCTCCGCACTCGAAGTTGCTGTTCGTGCCGTAGTTTCACTGTAGCGTAAATAGTAAATCAGATCTGAGCATACACGCTTGAAGCTACTATTCATTCTACAGTATTTAGTGTATTATAAACAGTAAAGCAAATTAAATGTATTAAAACGTGGATTCTCCTTCAAGTATAGAGGAGTAGATATGAATTTTAAATCAAATGTATTAAAACTTAGATCATTCTTTTAAGTATATAGGAGTAGATATGATTTCTAATTTTAAGTGTATAATAATTATAAATCAAATGTGGTAAAACTTAGAGGAAGACAAGTTTAAAATGCGATGCTTAAAAAAATAGGGGACCGTGCTTTGCACATGGTGCACACTAGTAGATATGAAGTGTAGAATATACATCTAAGAAGTATATGAGTATTGTTTTAAATTAGAACATGTAGTATATAATTGAATATATGCTTGAACAAACGTATGCATATATCAAGAAGTGTCCAGGAAGTTTGGTACGGGTACGGTTAGGGGTACGCCTTCCAAATAGAAGCACCAATGTAACATAGTTTAAAACATAACTGATTAGGAGCACATATCCAATTCTCTACTCTCTAGTTTACAAATGAGCTTTGTGCCTTTGATGAATGGGAAAAAGGAGAACATTTCTCAATATGGAACATGAATTAATTTTAAGGAAATATTGGTAAGTGATGCCGTGCCGACTAACCAGGTGTAGGTTCTCAATAAGATTTGTTGTCGGAAGACCAAGTAGCCAATAACGTCTGCATGAACCTGCACACCACAAACAAGGGAGGTGAGCATTTTATCTCTTAGTATCTATCCACTTGTCCACTGTAGCATTCTTTTTTGCTATTTATTTTCGCACTTGTCATTTCTTAATTGTCTAACATTTTAATATGTTAAGTATTGCTGGTCTTGTTAGCCGTCTTATGAAAAATTTCCTTGAATTTGAAAGTGGTCCCACTTTAACGATCATGATTTGATACAATGGATCACAATATCTGCAATTTCACAATCTTGATGAATGAGAGAGCCATATAGTGAAGCCATTAATTACGCATGGTATATTTTATCATCATTATGCACTTCACAGATACATATAACCAAAAATGTATTTCTATGTACTTATCAACTATATACACTTGACCAAAAATGTATTTCGATGTACTCATCAACTAGCCATATACTTATGTCATTTTCCTGTTAATAAGGTTATGCATATTAATTTACATGGACATACATCCATCATTCGTGTGTTACTGTGTAATACATTCTCTTTCAAGTTCTTCCCCCTGCTAACCATGTTTAATTGGTGATTACTTTTACTCGCAAAGGAGAAAAAAGTATTTGTTTTTTAGTTATAAGTATCACAAGGGATTTATCTATAGGAAACATGGTTGTGGCCTGGGTGACTTTACAATCTCTGTGGCACTCATAAACATATGTTTGGATACCATGGTGATTTTGGTATGGTGTTTTCAAAACTCTATTGTATTTTTTTTCAAATGTGTTTTCAAAACACCATGGTAAGCATTTTTGGCCAACAATAGTTTGATCTTCTATAACATTAATATTAAACATATTATTTATATATTAATATATTAATATATTAAATATTGACTATAATATAATCTATTTTAACTAATATATTATAATATTATATATATAATTGACAATTAATATATTAACTTTTATAAATAATAATGTATTAACATTTTTATATTATATTATAATATTATTATATAATGATATTATTATTATATTAATATTTGTTATAATATATGTAATTTGTCATTAATAAATTATTTACTTTATAATATATAAATACTTTCCATTATTTTATAGTGTAATATATTATTATTTATTATATAATATATTATGAATATATTGAATATAGTAATATTTAATCTTTTATATTTTTNTAGAAGTAGTTATTTTATTGTTAAATATTATTATTACGTAACATATTAAAAAATTTAATATATTACATAATATATTATTTATACATTAATAATATACTTTATTAATTGTATAATATAATAGAGTATATTTTGGTTATATAATTCAATATTATATCATTACCATAGGATTATTTATTAATAATAAATTATTATCTATTGTTTTATCAATATATTTTCTTTTATTATTATTTGCTATTAATTTAATTTATACAATATATATAATAGTATTTAAACTATAATTATTATATTAGTTATAATATTATATGTATTATTAATTAATGATAAACATAGTATTGATATATTAGGAAAAAAATATTATAATGTAATTTATTTGTATAATATAATATAATTTAATATTATATAAAGTATTTTTTTATTTTATTACTATATTTTTGTTTATATATTCAATTTATTGTTATTTACTATTAATATAATATTACTTGAAATATAATTATTATATTATATGTATTAGTAATCAATTGTATTGAATATAATATTGATATATTTGAAACTAATGTTATAATGTAACATATTAAATAATATAATTTACTACTATACTATATTATATTTTTGTAACGAATATATTATATTAAATATATTATTAATACACTATGTTAGACATTGTATTAACACCCTTGAAACTCAAAACACAAACACCACACTTGAAACATCTTTTTGGTGTTTTGAAATAAATGTTGTGTTTTTAATTTTTGATCTTGTAGCCTAACAAAAACACCATGGTTTCCAAACACATGGCTCCGTTTGGATACCATGATGTTTTACTTGTTTCCATTGTGTTTTTACCAAAAATAAAACACCATGCGTTTGGAAACCATGGTGTTTTTTGAGCTAAATCACCCTCAAACCGTAAGCACAACACTTATTTCAAAACACCTTCTAAGTGTTTTAACTTTGGTGTTTTGATTTTGAGTTTGAGGAGGTATTAATATAATATGTAACATAATATATTAAATATAATTAATATATAGTTATTATCAACATACTTATTATATTATATTATAATTAATCTAATATATTAGTAATATTTATTAAATAATATAAATATATCATAATTAAAATATCTTATATAATAATATTATAATAATATTAATTTAAAATATTATACAATATATAACAATATTATATTAATAATAAAATATTATTATTTTTAAAATATTATATAATATATAACAATAACAAATTGATATACCAAAATAATTAAATATATAATTATTTAAACATAATATGTAATAATTATAATATAATAATAATTATAAAATAATCTAACTCATTAAAGTATAATAAAAATATTAATATATTATACACTAAATAATTTATTTAATATGTTATAAAGTAAAATAATTTTTAATACTAAAATAATTTACTGCTAACCAATGTTAATGTAAAAATAATATATTCATAATATAATAATATTGATTTACATCATAAATTATTAAAATATTATTAATAAACTCTAACATGTTAGAAACTATAATATATTATATAATATTAAAATATGTGTAATATATGAATTTATTAATAATGTAGTAGTAATAAAATAATATTAACATTATTAATAATATTACATTCTATTAATAATAGTATAATATTATATCAATAATAAAATAATATTAATCTAAAAATATTATATAATGTATAACAATAACAAATTGATATACCAAAATAAATTAATATATAATTATTTGAAATAATATGTAATAATTATAATATAATAATAATTATAAATTTATTATAATTAATGTATAATATATTAATAATATGTTTAATACTAATGTTGTAATAGGTCAAACTAATGTAAAACAATCAACATGGTGTTTTGAAAACACTTTAAGGGAAAAACACAACACCATGGTGTTTTTTTACAAAAACATTACAAGGAAAACACCATGGTATCCAACCAAAGTTGTGGTGTTTTGTTTTTGGCAAAAACACCATGGAAATACTAAAAACACCATGGTATCCTAACGTTGCCATTTTTTTTTGTTTCATTTCACTTAATGCTGTTATATATTCTCCATAGGTCCATCGAGCAGTTATGAAGGATGGGTTGGAGGTCGCAATGAAAATACAATATCCTGGCGTTGCTGATAGCATTGATAGTGATATTGAGAATGTGAGGCGTCTTTTAAACTACACAAATCTCATTCCAGAAGGGCTTTTCCTTGACAGAGCTATTAAGGTAGAACGACTCTGTGATAGTTATTTCTAAATATTCCATCTTTTGTTAAGTTATATTAATATTTAAACCATTGAAAGTCTCTACTTATTTGTCATATTTCAATAAAAACCTACATAATATTGTACGAAGCAGTTTGTTGTGTGAAACCATATACTCTTTCCAACATAATACATCTTTCACTGTTCACTGAAATCATGATCCTAAGACTAGTTTCTTATCCAAAGGAAGGCCAAGTTCCTGTCCCACCAACCAAGTTATTTGTAAATATGATTTTCTTTTTGCTGAGTGCTTTACCATTCAAACTTTCTATTTTTCTGTCAATAGGAACTGAAAAGTTGCATAGTGCCTCAGCAGCAATTCATTTGTATTGCAAATGTTCTGACTATGCGTTATTACTACATAATACCAGCATCATCCTGCCCTACAATCATGTCCATAGAACTGTATAGCATTTGCAACTTTCACATTTCACAAAATTAGTGATTTTTAAGGCATGGTAGGAAGATTCGGATTCAAAGGCAACCGTACCTCTTGGATCTGCTTACAATATAAATCTTTGATCATAACCATTGTAGAAATTTGTTCTGGTAACATTAAAAGCAGAAAAGCTTGTTTAGATCGTAAGTTCTTCTCCTTAAAGGGCAATTCTAAGCCCCTGTCTAGGTTACTCTGTAAGGTGGCCAATGACAATCACTGTTTTCATGTCATTATAATATTATTGGAATAAAAGAATAGTGTTTTTGATACAGCATTCTGCCAAAGGTGAATTAAAAAATATAATTGTGCTATCATAATTCTGCTTGCTGTTAACCAGCAAATCTCCACTCACAAGTGTTGTGTTCTTGATTACTTACATAACATGGACACTTCATTGTAAAGTTATGTGAATGTTGAAAGAAATGTGTTGGACATGCATAAGCCTATGTATTTTTTTTAGAATTTGCCATGTGTTGGCATTTCTTGTCCGGTTTAGTTTGTCCATGGCCATGCAACATAGTGGTTTACTCTAGATACACTTAACCATAATAATCAGAAAAGATTTATCCCTTTTTTTCTTGTATATGATCATGTGACTCATAACATTATCCCTGAGCCGACTAATCAAAATTGCCTACTATTATTTTTGTATTATTATGCAATGAGCTGTGTACTATTTTTTCTATGAGGTTTCTGATCAATAAAGTTGTTTTGTCCCTAATATTTTAGTAAACCGTAGTCCAGAGTGCATAGAATGTAGTGTTACCACACTATTTATTCTACCATCTTATGTTGCACTACATAAGAAAGGCTTGTGAGTTTGAGCTACCTTGTCTCCATGTTTAGTTATTACTATTTAAACTGACAATCAACTTTATTTTTTAAAATGTGTATGAAAATATTTTAGTGAATTGTTCAGAGTACATAGAATTGTAGTGTTATATGTTTTTGTTTTACCATCTTATGTTGCACTACGTAAGAAATGCTTGTGAGTTTGAACTATATTGTCTCCATATTATAGTTATTACTATTTAAATTTTAAGCTGACAGTCAACTTTAGTGTCTTAAATGATTGTGAGAATATTTTAGTGAATTGTTCATAGTACCTAAAATTGTAGCGTTATACGTTTTTTGTTTTACCATCTTGTGTTGCACTATGTAAGAAAGTGCTTATGAGTTGGGCTACCTTGTCTCCATGTTTTAGTTTATTTTTGTTTAAACTGACAATCAACTTTATTGTTTTAAATTTACATGGAAATGTATCTTATTATGCTTCCTTTGTAGTGTCCGCCACACTAATTATTTGTTCTTGAAATTTGTTTTTATGAGTTGAGTTACCTTGTCTTTATGTTTTAGTTTATTTTTATTTTAACTGACAATCGACTTTATTGTTTCCAATTTACATGCAAATGTATCTTATTATGCTTCCTTTGTAGTGTCCGCTGCATTAATTATTTGTTCTTGAAATTTGTTATGTTTGTACCTCATCACTTTAGTTTAGAATATAACCTAGAGATGTTTAAAGATATGGTACTGAATGGACTGATGTTAGCCCTGTAAATAGCGGAGGAGTGTTGATTTTCGTGATCATTTTTAGGTGGCGAAGGAGGAACTCGCTAGGGAATGTGATTACGTTTTAGAAGCTGGCAATCAGAAGCGATTCCGTGAACTAGTATCGGAAGGGTTCTATGTTCCTCTAGTCATTGATGCAATATCAAGCAGGAAAGTTCTAACAACTGAGCTTGTCACAGGTAAAGACTTAATATTAATTTTTAATGGAGACTGGAGAGTCTTCTCATGATCCTAGCATAAGATACATCTGGCTTATTACGATCCAAATAGTTTCTCTTAATTGCTGCAGTGACATGAGATCTGATATGGGATAGTGCTATCATCACACCTCAATAACAAAACTTTCCAGATTTTAACTTTATACAATTTTTAAGATATGTTTGAACTATGCAATTGGGGTTTTGAGGCCACTTGGTACTGTATTATTTTCTTTAATGTTTTTGTTCAAATATGTGGACCCTCCCTGCGGTTCTGGGGAGTTTTGGTTTATGAAGAGAACTGACCATGAAACAATTCTTTTCACATGATAACTTTTCACTTTGCCAAAGTACGATATCACTAATCTTTTGCTTCTTAGTAAATGAAGCTCATCAAATGTCTACTAGGCCTTGTCTGACCATGAAGCAATTCTTTTCACATGATAACTTTTCACTTTGCCAAAATACGATATCAATAATCTTTTGCTTCTCAGTAAATGAAGCTCACCAAATGCCTACTAGGCCTTGTCACTATAATACTCATAGGAATTTCACTTACCCTGCTCTGTTGGCAATTTTACCTTCTGGTTTTTTGCTAATGCAGTTTCCTGCATTTTTCATTTCATGATATAGCAGGTTATTCTTATTTGTTAACCCTAAAACTTTCTGTCTGATTTGTTAGGAGTACCTATTGATAAGGTGGCTCTTCTGAATCAAGAGACTCGTGATTACGTTGGAAAGAAGTTGCTTGAGCTGACGCTAAAAGAGTTGTTTGTTTTCCGCTTCATGCAGGCATGTATACTTGCTTTCTGATTTTTTTTGCTTTTGGTTTAGTCCATTTGTGGTTATTACATTTAAAGTAGCACCTTAAATCCATAAGTCTGAACATCAGTCGTGATGCCTGTTGACTCACAACTTCTATATCTTTATATTCTAGTGCAAATAGGAAATGAAAGGCTGCTGCCTGGTAGTTAATTTACCTTTTCCGAGTTTTTTAATTCTAAAGATGCCTACAGTAGGTATTACATTCTAGTACCCTACATCAAATAAAAAGAATGTTAAATCAGAATGTAAGCTTTGTTATTGTGTACATGCAGGTTGTTTCAGTTGTTCCGTTTCCCAAAATCTGACACCAAGGATTCCTATCATCTTATACACATTTTCTTCGTCTTATTATCTTTCCAGATGATTCCAAGTCATTGACGTTCTCTTGATTGATTTTTCCTACTTATGCTTGGCATTTAGCTGAATCTTGGCTATTTCTGAATACAAATTTGTCCATCAAGTTAGTTTAGTTCACTTTCAGAGTGGTTCATGTTACTTTAGTTCACTTTTAGAGTGGTTGTTTCTTCTCGAACATGTTAATCAGTTCTTTATTTCTTAATTCTTAGTTAGCTTTGTTTGACTTGTTCTCAGACAGACCCGAATTGGAGCAATTTTCTTTATGATGATGCCACAAAAATGATCAATCTCATTGACTTTGGGGCAGCTCGCGACTACCCACAAAACTTTGTAGATGATTATTTGCGAATGGTAAGTGTGGCATTATTTCAGTCAATATTTTTTTGAGTGCATGTTATCTCAACTTGTGAATAAATGATTCCTTTTCACTCTTTATTGTATTTTTTGCCCACCTTCTTTCATAGCTTGAGCTTTATGCTTTGATAGGGGAAACTTCAATGACAGTGTGAAATATAATGCTGGTGGTCATTCTTTTATGCTTCGATTGGGGCACCTTCAATGGAAACTTTGTAGATACTTTATCTTTGTTGCTCTTTTATTTAGCATGGATAAGTAAATCATTGTTGATTTTTTTTTCCTTTATGTTTCCATATAGGACCTTTCCCATCCACCACGCTTGAAGCCACACACATTTAGGCTGGAAATTTATTTCTTATAACCTTATTTTGATGAACTGAAAACATCTTTAAATCATTTGGCATTAGTATCCCATGGAAACATCTGAAGATTTATCAGCAAGGGAATCTTTGAACAGGATGAAGTATGAGAATTGTGATCATGTTTCTGTTGGCTTTAAGATTGGAATTCTATAGAGAATACTGCTCTGTTGATGGAGATTTCATATTGTCTACCCCTTTTGCATGCTGAACAAACTTTTGTGCCAATTAAAAAAATTTAGTCTTCAGGGTCAAGATATATTCAGTATTCCATTCCAGTTGGCTGAGATAATTGAACAGTAATAAAGAGTCTTTAGATTATCTGGACATAGACACAAGTTTACCGATATAGAATTATTGGTCATATTTCCCTTGGTTCTGAAATCAGATTCCAAATAGAGGACATTGATTCTAGTGATGGAAAGTTTGGTGTTCAATAAACACATTCCATGCTAAATAATGTTGTGTTATTATAATATATCCCCTTTTTACGGTTCTGATATATTTCTCCTGGTCCATCATAATTTGTACGTGAGAGTGCCCTGAATATTTTTCAAAGTAAATGTTTGAATTATTATAGCGACGTTTCTTGCACAAGGACCAACCGTGACCCCGAGATCTCTCAGTAGTTTCTCTTGAAGTTGATGTATTATCATTTCTAGGAATATCAGGAACATGTCTATACTAATAGAAGAGGATTGGGGTGTCAACACTTTTGATTGCCTCTTTTGCCCTTTCAAATTTTAAGAATTCAAAATTGTGGCCATTATCTCTAGTTGATCTTTCATGAGCACCCATAAGCTCTTATAAACTATGAATCTACTCACAGTCCTGCAAACCTTATTCATTATAATATAGTTAGTGATTTATAATAATAATAACTTCAAAATATATTTTACTTCATTATAAATCATTATTAATTATCATAAAATAGTAAAAAATAATTATTAAATAAGTTATCGTATATAATTATATTTATTAAGATTAGTAAAAAAATTATTAATTTTTTATTATAGTATAATTTATAAATAATTATACATAATTTATTAAGTAATATATTATTAAATTATTTGACATTATTTATAAATTATAATAAAATAATTAACATAATAGTATAAATGTAATAATATAATATTAAATGCTATTAAGAATTATCCTATTATTTAATTAATAGCATAATTAAAATAATATGAATATGTAATAGTATAAATGGTATAGTTATTTGAATAGTATTACTTAAATTAAGAATTGCACTATTATTTAGTATCTATCATATTAAATAAATTATTTAATAATTGTTGAATAGACTAATTTATTAAATTATTTAATAAATATTACTTTATATCTATTAAGACTATTGCAATTATACTATCTATAATTATTATAAATAAGAATAGTTATGTAACATGATATTGATTTATATAATTATTCTAAATTACATTTATAATATTATAATTATTAGGAATATATTATCATATTAAATAATTATTAGTATATTATAATTATTTAAATAAATTATAATTAAACAAGATTTCGATTATTCAAGGGGCAAAAAACTAAAACAAGTATGTCCACAAGGAAAGCACATGTATTCTGTATATAATAGTTACAATTATTTGTAAATTGTGTTTGTGTTGTTACTTGTTTGTGATATTCCCATCTCATGCTTGTGTCATGAACTGTTTTTTTGGTTTCCTCAAATGCTTTTTCTCTTTGGTACCCTTTTTTTTTACTTCTTTTTTAGTTAGCTCAAAGTTTCTCCCCATAATCAAAAGTAGCGTGCCTATTCAGAATATGTGTACTTGTCATGATTAATAGACTGAATATGAGATGATCAGATTGGGTTTTCATTTTATAAACGCTTATTTGCACTAATAACTCAAAGCTTGACATTTTTTTGAACTTTGATACCCTGAAGTTCTGTTTTGACAATTTTACCTCAAACTTTAAATTGATGTTAATTGAACAATTTGATACCCCAAAGTCTAACTTTGGTCCTCACTTTCCCCAGACTAAAAAAAAAAAAAACTGAAAATCGGTAAGAAAATTGCTTCTTTTTCACTTTTCTTTGTTGACATTCTTGAACAAAACTATCGTCTAGTTTTTTTTACATTTTGCGGGTGTAACATTATCAAAATAGAATTTCAGCATACCCAAGTTTAAAAAAGGGTGAAACTTAGGATATTAATGTGCAAATCACCCTTTCATTATTTCCTCAGCTTTCTTTTCCTTTTCCAAGAACCTTAGCTGATATAACTTAATTTCCTTGACGAGCAGGTGATTGCCTGTGCAAATAAAGACCGAGAAGCGGTAATTACAATGTCACGTCGACTTGGGTTTCTGACCGGTGAAGAATCAGAGGTTATGTTAGATGCTCACGTTCAAGCTGGTTTCATTGTTGGTCTTCCCTTCTCAAATCCAGGCGGCTATGACTTCCGATCAACAAATATAACACAGAGCATCTCCAATCTTGGAGCCACGATGCTGAGGCACAGGTTAACTCCGCCACCAGATGAAGCCTATAGCCTTCATCGAAAGCTATCCGGTGCCTTTTTGGCCTGCATCAAGCTTGGTGCTGTGGTGCCTTGTAGAGAATTGTTGATGCAAATTTATGAGACATACGAGTTCAGTGATGATGATGCTGAGTTTGTGACTAGTTCATTATAGTGATATAAAATTTTGCAAAAAAAAAAAGTGACATTCTTGTTCTGCCAATTGCAGCTATTCTTTTTATAATAATGGTGTTTTTTGAATCCATTTATGAAACATGGAGATGTAATATCTTAACATAAAAGTGGAAAATGAGAAACTACATGTTACAAATTTTAATACTTGTTGCAGTGTTATCTGTTTGTCAAGAATATTATCTAGGACATTAGAAACCTGTTTTTACTTTTGCAGCCACCGTGATTGAGAATTTAGAGCTGATGAGAGAGGTGGCTTTTCCTCTGAATTTGAATCAAACCAAGCAGTAGAAAAGCAACAGTTTGGTTATGCTGACAGTTTTTGTGTATGTTTTTATACATACAGCAACTGGGAAAAATGCTTCTACGCTCTATGCTTCTTCAACTATTTGGGGTCTAGTATAGAATTAAAGAAGATATGCGGGTCTAACATTACCCCCCCCCCTCAAAAAAAAAAAAAAAAAAAAAAAAAAAAAAAAACCAACCCCCAAAAAAAAAAAAAAAAAAAAAAAAAAACAACTAACTCTAAGAGACAATAAAAAAAAATTGACTCACATTTTATATATTTTTTATCCGTTAAATGCACGAGATCGAGGAATACATCCATACAAAAACACTTAGCGGCGAGACACTCTCATTCCCACAACGGTAGAACCTGATTGTTGGAACAGTCAGGCAGCTAGTCGTTGCAATATGACTGTTGGAACATACCAATTTAAACGCTTTGTATTCGGCTGAATGTTAACCTTTTCAGCTAAAAGTTGTAATAGTTAAAGAGATAATTAACATGTTAACATAAACAAGTACTCAACATCTTCGGCTGATACAAGGTTGTAAAGATTTTTGACTTGATAGTAAAGAATACGTTTGTTTGATATGCAATAGTAAATGTTTACGTGTAATTTTGGTCTGAGAGACTATCGCTTGGCTGTTACGATCAAGGTTATGGACTGGTTGTCAAGCTTATCGATTTATTATGAAGTTTGTTATTGTATTGTTAAGCTTATGGATTGGTTGTACAGTTTAGCGTTTTGTTTTTAAGCTTATGGATTTGTTGTCAAGTTTAGCCTTTTGGTTGTCAAGGTAATCAAAAAAAGAAAACTCTCTCTCTCTCTCTCTCTCTCTCTCTCTCTCTCTCTCTCTCTCTCTCTCTCTCTCTCTCTCTCTGCATTAAATGCATTCCATAGTAGCGTTTATTCCCAAGACAGGCAGTCATTATCACCTGGCTCCTCGCTATTCCCATCTACCACGCGGAAATTACCCTCGTCCCTTCGTCTGTTCAACGACATGACCATTCGACGCAGCCATCAATCTTCCCATCACCGCCATTCTCTTCGTCAAGTTTGCAAACAAGCTTACCCTTCTCCTCTAATCCCAGCCTCATATCAACTACACCCCCTTCGCTTCCTAAACCAGAACATCATGTCTACGATGATAGCATCTGTATACATTGCCATGGTTCATGGCATATGTCACGGGATTGCCCTCATGGTCTGAGAGCTTGCGCCACTCCACGATTGCTCCTCGTGCCAGATAACGTCGCCAGCAACATTCAAGAGCTTACTACATTCGCCATTGTAGGCTGTCTAAAAATCACAACAGATATCTTATCCCCATCAAACACCGATGATGGAAGTTACAATTTGACGACTTCCAGAAGGCTACAATTTGAAGACTTTCACGTAGAAGGTTACAATCTGACGACCTTCATAACAACTAATGAAAGCTCTAATTCAACAGCCTTCACAATCAACATCTGGAGTTACAATCTGATGACTCTCATATTTTCAAGGAGCCAAGACGAAGGTTACAAGGTGACGATCTTTGCAACGCTCTAGAGACTAAATTAACGGTCTCTTCATATTAAAACACATATATCTCTCAAACTGTAAGGAATTTGGCAAAACTGACGGAGCAAACCGAACCCTATGAGGTTGGTTTGGTCGGCTCCGTCTCGTCGAGATAGCCGATTTTCGTATATAATTCGTCCAATTCCGACTTACGGTTTGAAAGTTATGACCTGTTCTTCGCAGCAAGTTATGTTCTGAAGTCCGTCTGCAAGACTGGACTTCGTCAGAACATCGGACTTAGCCTAAAGCTCGCCGAGCCCACCTAAAGCTCACCTCTACATCCAAAACTCAAAACGCAGATGTCGTGGCTATATTCCGGAGTCAAAACGCAGAGTTCATCTCCGTGCGTCTCAGGTCCAAAATGCAGAGTTCATCTCTGTGTTTCAACTCTACGTCTCAAGTCTGAAACGCAGAGTTCATCTCTGTGTTCCAACTCTGCGTCTCAGGTCCAAAACGTAGAGTTCATCTCTGCGTCCCAACTCTGCATTTCAGATTTACAACGCATCGCGGCCTGTGCGTTCAGCCACCCAAAATAGGCCCAACTCTGCGTTTTTAGTCTAAAACGCAGAGTTCGAGCCCAGAATGTCATTTTCGGCGTTTGACTCGTTCAAACACGAACCGAACAGTTCCAGGAACCGTTCCCCCCAAGATTTGAGGGATTTCCGCCCCACTTAGGAGCGGATTAAGGGGACAGTTACCACCCTTAATCCCATATAAATACGAGAAACTCAGTTGAGTTAGGGGATCAGATTTTGTTTCATCAATGAAGGGAGATTCGGTCAAGGGCTAGCTTTTGGGGATCTGGGCTGGAGCTTTTTGGCTGGAGATTTGGCTCTCGGATTCAGCCTTCTTTTTGGTCTTTCAGCTTGGCAGCAAAAAAGTTCTTGGATCTTTGGAGATCGGCCACGTGAGCTCCTTCATCCTTGGCTTATTAACCGAACTTTCGGTTTAAATCAACTCTTTGATAGAGTTTCAAACTCGTTCAGAGTTATCAACTCGATCAGAGTTCAAAACTTGCTCTGCAAGTTCTTCTAAAACTCGCTCTGAGTTATTAACTCGTTAAGAGTTATTTTCAAACTTGCCACGTAAGTTTTCCACAACGTCAAATCGTGAGGAGAAGACTAACTCGTTAAGAGTTATTTTCAAACTTGCCACGTAAGTTTTCCACAACGTCAAATCGTGAGGAGAAGACCATGTTACAGTGAAACAAGACGTGCGGATCGTCAACGGAGAGCGAATTCGACGCGAGCATTCGAAGGAGGCACTCCATCGCTACGTTAAGAACCCAGAATTAAACAAAGGGGAGAATCCAGATCATTCTCTTTTCTTTTATAATCAGGAAATCCAATTTGTAATCGATTTTAAAGGAATACAAATCAATTTTCCTTCATTTCTTACTGCAAATTTTTCCACAAACAACCATCTTCACTCCTGAGCTGGGCCGACCATCTTTGGATGAGCTCAGAGAAATGCTAGGGTACCACTTCAATGTCTGGGATTGGACCTATGAGATCAAGCGGGTATCTACAAATAGCTTCATGGTTAAATTCCCTTCTGATGAACTACTAGATCAAGCCATCGAGCTAAGCCCGGTAAATTTTGGGTCCTTCGTGGGAAGATTCAGGCTTTGGAGGGAGGACCTTAGGCTAAGAACATTGCCCAAACCCTTTTTCACGTGGGTCCGCCTCTTCAATCTCCCCTACCACCTCTAGGAGTGGGAGTTTTTGCAATTACTGTTCGAGGGCATCGACTAATGCATGTACTGCTCCGCTGACGTCACCACGAAAAATAACTTTAAAGACTGCAGGGTACTGCTCGAGTTTAGGGAATATTTGGATGTCCCTAAGAGGATTAGATTTCGTTACACCTCTCCTATGGACTTAAGCCTAATGGAAGGGTTCGTCATCACTCAGGTTGTAGGTCGGGACTGGGAGCACCAAGCGAACATTGAGGCCGATCCTATCGACATGGATGTTGACCAACCTTAACGCCAGCGTACGCAGCCTCCCCGCGCCGACCCGGAGTTGATTGAGGTGACTTGGGACGACAGGCAAATGATGGTGGAGAGAGATATCTGGTAGCGATTTCTCCAAGTCTAAGGTGTTGGGGGGGTCCATCCTTCCTCGCAATAGGGGTTTCTCATACGACTTCGCTTCGAGTAAGGATAGCGGGGGAGGAGCAGCCGACCCCTAGGTTATCATTTATGTAAATTCCCTTATTTTTTGTTTAACTTGATCATGATATGTGTTGTTAACAACATATTAATTTATGATACACTTTTTGGAATGATTTTGTTTAACTTGATCATGATATGTGTTGTTAACAACATATTAATTTATGATACACTTTTTGGAATGATTATACCTTTGTTAATAACAACATATTAATTTATGATACACTTTTTGGAATGATTATACCTTTGTTAACTGTAAATAGCCATGATATTGTTGTTAAGCTTAGGGATTGCGTGTTAAGGTTACGGGTTTGTAGTTAAGGTTACGGATTGGGGGTATGATGTTAAGCTTTGGGATTGTTTTGGATTTATTGTTGAGCCTAGGGCTTTGGTTGTTAAGGTTACGGGTTAGCTGTTGTCGTGATTTACCTTTGGCTTCAAGTTTGTAGCTTGCAAATGAGTTTGTTGTTAAGCTTAGGGATTACCTGTTAAGGTTACGGGTTTGTTGTTAAACTCGTGGGTTTGCTGTTAAGGTTACGGATTTGGGGTATGATGTTAAGCTTTGGGCTTGTTTTGGATTTGTTGTTGAGCCTAGGGTTTTGGTTGTTAAGGTTACGAGTTTGTTGTTAAACTCACATGTTTGCTGTTAAGGTTATGGATTGGGGGTATGATGTTAAGATTTGGGCTTATTTTGGATTTGTTGTTGAGCCTAGGGATTTGGTTGTTAAGGTTACGGGTTAGCTGTTGTCGTGATTTACCTTTGGCTTCAAGTTTGTGGCTTGCAAATGATTTTGTTGTTAAGCTTAGGGATTACGTGTTAAGGTTATGGGTTTGTTGTTATACTCGTGGGTTTGCTGTTAAGGTAACGGATAATGGTATGATGTTAAGCTTTGGGCTTTTTTTAGATTTGTTGTTGAGCTTAGGGCTTTGGTTGTGAAGGTTAGGGGTTTGTTGTTAAACTCGCACGTTTGCTGTTAAGGTTATGGATTGGGGGGTATGATGTTAATCTTTGGGCTTGTTTTGGATTTGTTGTTGAGCCTAGGGTTTTGGTTGTTAAGGTTACGGGTTAGCTGTTGTCGTGATTTACCTTTGGCTTCAAGTTTGTGGCTTGCAAATGAGTTT